CCACTCCTGCCCCCCTCCAACTCCACCGACGAACCCCTTCCCTTTTACCCCACCCCACTCCTGCCCCCCTCCAACTCCACCGACGAACCCCTTCCCTTTTACCCCACCCCACTCCTGCCCCCCTCCAACTCCACCGACTAACCCCTTCTCTTCTACCCACAACCTCAGTATTCATTGCTAATGGCCAGTATAACCTCCCTTCCGCGAAACGACCACCAACGAGGAAATGACACCAGGAGTGTCATAATATAGATTATATGTCCATAGTATATATGTCTATGTATAATATATGTCTATATTATGTCGCTCCTGATGACATTATATTTATGTCTATATTATTACGCTCTTCATGACGTAATATATGTCTATATTATGACACCCCTGATGACGTAATATTTATGCGTGTTTCAGACGTAAATCGCCTGGCACGTACGACAAGGAGATAGCGGACTATGTCTACTCCGAGACGCACCCGTCTCCCTCCTCCACGGGAAACATAAACCTCCCCCGTGCACACATCAGCGCCAAGTCTCCGAAAGACTCCGCCGCCGCCGACGACCGCTACGACAAAAGGAGAAGCGATGTGAGTGAGTGAGGGATGGAGGAGCGGAGGTGCCGACGCTATACGTTACGATACAGCCGCGATGATTTGAAGTATCGTAGTGTATCGTGTGCGAGGTGGTGGATCGCGGAAGGCGAGTTTTTAAAACGTAGGATGGCGACTGAAGATTGATAAATTATTCATGACATCACACATGGTTCGCGTTTCTGATTCGTTGCCGGTCGCTTAGATTTGTTTAGATTTGTTTAGAGTCGGTTTAGAGTTAGTGTTAGGGTTTGGGTTGGGTCTTGGTTAGGGTTAGGGTTAGCGTTAGGGATATGGTTATGCGCTATTCTTCCGAGCAGTCGCGCAGCGTGGTATGCGTCGCTTTCCCACACCATAGATTAATTTGGTACTATGACACGCGTATATAAGATAGCCGAGTCGGTTTAGAGTTAGTGTTAGGGTTAGGGTTGGGTTATGGTTAGGGTTAGGGTTAGGGATATGGTTTTGGGCTCGTAAATTGGTATTGAGTGAAGTAAATTATTACTTCGCACAAATCAGAAACGCGAACCATATGTGTGATGTCGCCATCCTACGGTTTAAAAACTCGCGTGCGGAAGCCTCGATACGATACACTACGATACTCCCGAAAATTAGTATCGTAGTGAATCGTGAAGTGAAGAGTGGACGTAGTGAGAAATAAGTCAGCTTATTACTTCAAGGTGCAACTATCCAATGCCGAGAGTGTGTTATGTTAGGAAGCATCGTAGAATTCAATCGCAATCTAATCGAGTATCCATCCAAGTGCAATGCTGTAGCGCGGAATCGATTGATGTTAGATGGGAAGATCAGGGCCGTAGGCTGAGCAAATTCCTAGGGGGAGGGGGGCAGTGGCAGATCTAGGATTTAAAGGAGGGGTGAGATACAGGTGGGGGTTCTGGGGGTCCTTCCGCAGAAAATTTTGAAAATGTAGATCGCAGGGGATGGTATTTGAGGCACTTTTGAGTACATGTACAGCCTTCATTCTGACCACGACAATTCTCTTTTAGTAGAACAATTTATTTTTTTAATTTTGCTCCAAAATCTAGTGGGGGCAGCTGCCCCCCTTGCCACCCGAAGGCTACGGCCCTGAAGATGGTGATGTAATGGGGAGAGTGTTATGTGAGGGGGACTCACACGGCCAAACATTGATGTTTTAGGAGACGGGCCATGTCGGCAGTTCTCACCATGACAACCCGGCGTATGGACGCGTCAACGAGAACGACAACGTCTTCTTCTAACCATCTCATCTCACGATAGCTACACACGTACGCGCACGCACGACCACACACAACACACAACACACACAACACACACAAACACACGCGCGCGCGCACACACACACACACACACACACACACACAGTCATGCACACGCCACGACGCACACGACGGAGTTGCCACGCACGCTGCCCCACGCACGACGCCGCACACATCACCACACAGGGCGCACACCACACACACACTGCACACACGCACACACACAGTCACACCAGGTGCACGCACATCCAACGACACACACCGACGCGACACAGCGACCACGACAAGCAACACACACGACCATACACATCGCGGCGGAGTCATCATGCACACGCATTTACGCCCGCATATACACTGACGGCACGCACGCACGCACGCACGCGGCGCAGAACACGCACGAACACGCACGAGTCGCGATACATGAGTTTCGTGTCATTTCATACTTCTCGAATGAGTCCATAATTATGATACTAATACATCTACAATTACCGATGGTCAAATAACCAATTAAGGGTATAATGACACTATCCTATAGTAAGTATATATCAATACCATATTTATATTGTATCGCGCGATCTCATACGTATATTACGTGCCGAGTCTCATTTTGATATAATATATATATATCTCCATATATATATATATATATATATATATATATACAAGGTCTGTATAAAAATTCGTTTTTACACAGGCGATCAAAAAGACAGAGAATGACTGACAGGCTGACAAAAAGACAGAAAGACGGACAAATAAACAGACAGACGTGAATGACAGACTTCTTTAGTGTCGCACCATATAAGGCTCGTGTGCATGTAAGGGCGCGCGTCCATGAAAACGCCCGCGCATCTACCGTCTCCCTTCCTCCAGGAGTGGAGACAGCAGCGTCCTAGATGCGCGTGCTAGATGAATAAAGGACCGATGGCTAACAGTCGGTATCAGCGCGACCACGCATGCGCAGACCTCAGCATATGGAACGACCTATCGGCATAGAATAAGAATAACTTAGTCATAAGAATAACTTAGTTATTTCTAGTCTAGGCTATCAGCGATCAGCACATAGACGTATCAATATCGCTTGTCACGTCGTAAATGCCCCGATAAATAAATATAATAGCTGGATAGCGCGTTGTGTGTATTATTATTTCGTGACAGTTGGCCGCCATATTGGTCGACCCAAAACTCGAGTAATTACCAGGGCTGGACAATGCGTAGGTTCAACATTGTTGTAACCATAGAAATATATAGAGACACCGACCTATATTATTCTACCTATATATATATATATATATATCANAAACAACATGAATAAGAGAGCATAACAATAAAAGAGCATAAAAGAGCATAAACAACATGAATAACATCAATCTCTATTATGTACTCTTGATAACATAACTCTCTTATTCATGTTGTTTGTGCACGCAGCACAGGGCGGGCGTGCGGTGTACTTGTGTGTTGCAGATGAGCATTTGACCGGCATTTACAGGTGATTATAGGTGAAAACGTGTTTATTCACCTTCTTTATTTTTATTGAGACGTTCCAAGTGCCTGTGCCGGCGAACGCTTTTGCCAACCAGCAGAGCTATGTTTACACACGTGACCTGGACGTGACGTCACGCGAAACGCTCCTTGTGCAACATGTCACTACACTGTAGTGTACAGCTGTAAAAAAAACACATCTTTCCCGCAGAGTGGTAAAAATCGAATCCTCCAATACTATAGCGTATCCATCCGAGCTGAAGCATCCGGGCACTTTTAGAATGAATTGATTTAGAGTTTGGTTTGTAGTTTGCTGGTTTGGAAAGTGTAGTGAATAGATTGCAAGTCCTATGAATTAATTCGAAATTCCTGAATAGTTTTGCACACGGAACGGAAACAACCGAGTAGATGGCAAATTGTAAACGTTACTAAGTGATTTCAGATGTCTTGAATAGATTGGAAGTTGCATAAATTGATTGTTAAATGAGCTCTTTGTTTGTAAACATTTAAATATGTTTTGAAAACTGTATGATTAATTTGTAATTTAACCTATACATTTGTCGTTTGTTACCTAATAATTCTGAAACCAACAGTTAGATTCGCATTTCTGGTGATTAATGTTAAAAGTAATAAGTTAATTTCAAACTTAGTGAACTAATTCGTTATTCTGTAAATAAATTTCAAACTTGATGAAGCAGGATTTGAACATTTGTGAGTTTATGTAACATGTTCTCAATTAAATTGCAAGTTAGTAAATTGGTTTGTTGTTTTAAAAATAAATTGTACGTTTAGAAAATGAATTTTTACAATGATGTGAAGGAATTTGTATATCAAGCAATTATTTTGGAAAGTTGTGAATTAATTTGGAAGTTAATAAATTGA